TGGTACTAGGACATGTGTGGCGGGCACTAGGACATGTGTGGTACTAGTACATGTGTAGTACTAGGATATGTGTGGTACTAGGACATGTGTGGCGGGCACCAGGACACGTGTGGTGGGCACTAGGACACGTGTGGCACCAGGACATGTGTGGTACTAGGACATGTGTGGCGGGCACCAGGACATGTGTGGTACTAGGACACGTGTGGCGGGCACTAGGACACGTGTGGCGGGCACCAGGACATGTGTGGCACTCAGGATTGGGAGTGGAGACAGCACAGCAAGACCTCGTCTCAGCAGAAGGATCAAGCAGGGAGACACTGACACAGCCTTTTAAAATGATGAGCACCTGGTAACACCCACAGCGCACAGCCGGCTAGAATTCCTTTCTTCAACTGCACACGCACTATGCACACAAACTGTCTATAAATGCCGCCTTTATCACAATGCTATAAACCCAATGTCAAGAGTGTGGAGACTGTTATCTAGCTCCGGTACTTTATTCTTTAATGAATTAAAAGCCATCATCAGAGGTTCCAAAGTGTGACCTCCATTCCGAGGTAAAGTGAAGTAATTTTGATGTAAATAATTATTTACATATTACCAGCCATAACACAAACTGACCACCGCATCTCTGATACGACTACGCCGGGATGCTAGTTACATTATCTCGCCTTTTCTACTCCTGACCCATGCCAAGTCTTTTTGAATCATTTAAGAAATCTAGTATGACTATACTTAGGAATTTTCTTTAAATGTCAATGGAAAGAAGAAAAAAGACACTATAACTAGTTAAAACCAAAATCCTCATCTTCTACTTCTGGGCTTATTCTGCCACCTAGTGAAATACTAAAAGTTTAGTTAATTCTGGAAATCAGAACAAATAACAAAAAGGGCATATCAACCTGAAAAGTATACTTATGAGAAATAAAGACATTATAGAACAGTTTTGTACACACTTAAAACATTTTCATTAAACCATGCTTATGTATTATAACTCATCAATTTAATCGGATACTTGTTTAATCAGCAGTGATTTTTTTAAAAAAAACAATTTACTAAAAACAGAAAAAGAACCAGAAACATTAAATTGCTTTTGACATTAGTTATACTTGTAAATTCTGTGTTACCCCCCCGCCAAGGAGGCTGGGCTTGGAATTTTCAATACAGCTGCCCCTCAGCTTCCTCAGGAGGCTTGGCTGAAGGACCCCATAGCTGTCAAAGCTGAGGACACACAAGTCCCATGTATGAAATAGTATATACTTACAAACAATGAACCCATCTTCGGGATACTTTAAATCTCCTCTCTATTCCTTATCAAACATAACTTAATGTCAATGCAACAATCAGACACTACATTACATTGTGTATTGAATCAGAACAAGTCACTCTTCTTTTTCTGACTGGAGCTGGTTGATTCAGTGAATTCCAAATCAAGCCATACGAAGGGGCCAACTGTACTTATTAACAACAATACTCACTGTCCAGTTAAATACTAACATCTACAGATTTGCACCACCCACACCACCTGAAGAACTGACTAATGGCAGGAAGACCCCAGAATGAGGCCTACCTGGGAGAAGATATTTGCAGTGGGAGCCACTCTGCTGTCCACGATGCTATACAGTATTGCTAACAATCTGTCCAGGGGAAATGGCTTGGGTCCAAGGAGGTGATTGCTTGTCTGTAACGAGAACATGAGACTCTTTTTATACCATACCATATGCCTTCTACAATATAAATTCCCAGTAATAATATACTTTTTCTCTCAAATATACTAACAAATTTAACCTATGGGCCTTAAGCACTGCCCAATATCATGATTTGTCTTTTTGCCATGTTTATTAGCACCCATTAACTATACACAATAACGGGTTTCGTTATGACTTTGATCATTTTCGCACCCCCCCCCCCCCCACACACACACCTCTCTTCCTATCTAGCTTCCTTTACAGCTGCAATTGTGCTAACTCAGTGAATCTCACTGTCACTACTTGGGGACAGGAGCTCAGGCAAAGGGTGGCAGAGGCACAGGCAATGTCCAGTGGCTGCACCACTGAAGAAACGTCTCCCTCCTCCAGCAACTATCGGTTGACTGTAAGTCCCCAGGCAAGACAATCAAGATCGCTGACAACTCCACACTAAAGGGCCCATCTTGTGCAGATAATCCCAAATCTTTTCTAAATGACTTAAAGTTTTCTCTGTTCCAATAAACAGGAAAGAACTCAGCCATTTGCAGTCTTGAGCTGCTGACTTTGCCAAATGATTTTTCAAGAAAATGTATAATCACAGCTAAGACTTTTCTTTGTTTAAATTAAATTTTATGTGTAATGTGTGTGTGTGCATGTGTGTGCATGCCTGAATAAATGCACTTGCAGCAGAGAGAGGCATGCAGCTGTGTGCAGAGGGTCGTCAGGCGTTGAATTCTGTGAAGCTGTGTTACAGACAGTTGTGTGTACCATTCGGGTTCTGAGAATGGAACCCACATGGTCTGCAAGAGCACCAAGTGCTCTTAACTGCTGAGCTATCTCAGCCTCCAATCCAGGGTCTTAATTTCTGGACTAGAGTATACTATTTAATTCCCACCATTCCTCTTCAGACTAATTCCTCAAAAATTTAAACATTTAGTTGACATGGTTTCAGAAGAGTTCAACACAGTTTTAAAAAGTTCAACATAGTTTTTAAATGATCAATAATTAGAAATACCATCTTAATTTAGTAAATAAAACTGTCTAATTAGTGAATAAGCTGCCAGCCTGAAATAATTTAATATTTATAAAAACTTTAAAGACTGTAAACGTTCATATTCGTAACATATAATCACGTCATTAGGAAATCACAATAACCAACACTCCATTCTATTAGCAGATAATTTTAAAAGCAGGTTAAGAATTTCAGGGCTTCCTATTAACAGTGGAAAGTAAACTAGGAAAGCGCATGCAGGGGAGTATATTTAGTATTTAAAAGAAGAATAACTGTAAGCAAAAAACCCAGACCTGATTGATGTGGGATTCCCCTCTGTATGTTATGAATATGTTCTGTTACCATCGGTTAATAAAGAAGTTGCTCTGGACCTGTGGCAGTGCATAATAGAGCTAGGTGGGAAACTAAACTGAATGCTGGGAGAAATAAGGCAGAGTCAGAGAGACGCGATCTAGCCAATGCTGGAACTTTACCTAGTCAGTCATGGCCTGTGGCAACATACGAAATAATAGAAACAGGTTAATTTAAGATATAAGAGCTAGCTAGAAATACACTTAAGCTATTGGCCAAACTACTGTAATTAATACAGTATTGTGTGATTATTTCGGGTCTGGGCAGCTGGGAACGAACAAACAGCCTCCGCCTACACCTGATCAAAGTATAAAATGCAGTCAGCATTCACTTAGTTATTTACAGCTAAAAGATGGGTCAGAGATCATTTCCTGTTCTTAAATCTTGTGTGATTCTTCTATCAAATACTTCAAACATTTAGAAATGTACAGAGGTTTAATAGAGTAACTACCAAATTATATCAAATCCAGATGTTACATATGCAAAGAAACAAAACTGAGACCACTTTACTAGTAAAGCTGAAACCCACTGAAGTCTTTCCCATCTTACTATCCCTTTCTGCCCCTGGAAGGAATTCCAGTCTAAAATGTGATGCTTTTATCTCACGCAGGTTTCTCCAATATTAGAGGTTACATATCTACCAGCAGTGTACAGAACTATGACTTTAAATTCCATATTAATTATATTATTTTGGATGCAACTTTTACCACATTCCCCTTTCCCTTTAACATTATGTTTTCTGAGATTTATTTATATTTTAAATGCAGCCCTAATCCATTTTTAACCTCTCCATTTTTATGACAATATCATTATCACAGATAGTTACAAAAACAATCACTACTACAAATATGCTGTGACTGAAATCCTGCAATCTTTCCTTGTGCACACCTGCATTTATGCAGGAGAACAAGACACTGCTGGGAGTTTGTTAACAGTGCTTTCTGTTTTGTTTTGTTCTTGGGCACACAGGAAGACTGTTCCATCGGTACAGACGGACAGAGGCCATTTAACTGAGGACAAGTGACACAGGGACTTCACCAAGAAAGAACTTTTCCAACCACTGCTCTCTCCATTGTTAACTTCAGAGGTCACTGTGCTTCATCTGACATCACAGTTGGATATACGGAGCTGTACAACTCATATTCAGCTATTATGCAAGCAAAACTCTGTTGTGGTAAGTCATTCAAGAGTTTCTTTTAATTTTGTTTTGTTTCCTTCTACAATGAAGCCTAGCCTTAGCCTTGACCAATATACAAATTTCACTCATATTTAATTAGATATTGTCAACCTACAGAGTCGGCAGACTCTGTTCTATCCTGATTTATGGGGCATCTGTATTAAGAATCAATCATCAGTTCCTGTCAGTGTTTTCAGTGCAGGTGTGTAAATGTCTCATTGTTGTTATAATCTGCACCGCATTAGTGAATCAGGAATTATACCACGCTTGTTAGTATTCAAGTTTCTTTTTACATCATTTACTCTTTTGTCGTTTTGTAACTGATTTGTAAAAATACTCACATATTCTAATCGCTTGCCTATGAGTTCAATAGAGCAGGGAGCAGAAGGCTTTAGTGTAGGCCTAGAATCGGATACGGTATAAACTATGAAGAGGTGGGGAAATAACTGAATTTCCTCAAAACCAAAGAAAAGATGGAGCTAAAAAAAAATACCCTTGGAATAAAAAGACAAAAGGTAATGAAGAATGCAAATGGCTTTGAAAAGGACAATAATGTCTAATGTATCTACTCAATGTCTCAAGAAGACAGATAAAGGGAGAAGTGGCAACATGGGAAAAGTTAATGGTCAGAAGCAAAACTAACTCAAGGTAAAAAGAAATTTAATCCCAGATACACTCCAGCACAACTATAACAATAACAAAGGAAGCAAACTGATGAACAGTAGAGCATACAGACACCAGAAAAAGGGAACAGACTTTTTATAGCAGTCACAATAAAAGGCAAAAGACAGTAAAGTAAGTGTTTGCTTCTTCAAGTCCTGAAAACACACCAGTAACTGAGAAGTGTATACTGACTTGTTTTTAAGATTGAAAAACCACTCATAGCATTAAGAATGTAGACTCTAGTCCAAAGTTCTCCACTTCCAGCTCAAAGTCAGCAGCAGCTGGGTACACCACGTAGCTGGAGCTGTCTACCTTCCAAACGCACTGATTTTAACCTGGACTCACTAACTTACTTTAAAAGTACCCAGTAAGTATAATAACAGCTTTTCTAGATTCTCCAGAACTTCCATCCTTCCATCTGCTTAATGACCTGAATATTCATCTATTCTGCGAAATTTCATAAATGTTCCCACCTGTGATCCCCTTCTTCACAATGGACGGCAGGGTCTCACTCTGCAGCCCTGGCTGGCCTGGAACTCACCCTGTAGACCAGGCTGGCCTTGAACTCAAAGAATCTCCCTGCCTCTGCCTCGTGAGTGCTGGGATTAAATATATAAAAAGGTACACAAATCATAAATAAGTTTATTCTAAAAGCATTCTTTGCTGAATCTTGCCATTTATTAGAGGCAAGTTAATTTGTATACTAATGAGATATATTTGTTTACATAAGTAACTACATCTTTCGAAGCAAGATGTAGAGCAGCTTCAATGTTCTATAAAGTTGATCAATATTTTGATTTTACACAGATCAGTGCTGAGAATTATCAGTTTGCAAATACACATCAGACGGAATGGCATAAGTAGGCTTAAGGTATTTGCAAAGATTACTTGAAATTCTGTCCTATGTCTAATCTAACCTTCATTTAACTCAAACAAGAATGTCAAATAGTAATTCTGAAAATCAAGTATTTTAAAATAAAATGACCTAAAAATTAACTAAGTTGATATTTATATGCTGATAATGGTAAAATAATGGTAAAAATAGTAATAATTTTATTTATCTTTAATTAATCTATTATATTTTTTTAAGAGTAGGAAACTTCGTATGTGTAGTAAAAACACGGTGATTGACAACAAACAACATGTGTGTTTCACATAGCATGATGGCATGACTCCTCAGGCCAATGTATGCTTGACTTTAAGTTAACTTTGGCTCTTGAATGTTTAGAAATCTTTTATTATTGGCATATGGGGTCAAGACCCATAGTTTTATATAAGCACTTCAAGTTTCATTGTAGAAAAATCTTTCCTGCTTAAGTGTATATGGGTTTCTCTATTTCATCAATAGAATTTTTGTAGGTATTTGAGAGTGGAAAAGAAGAAGATAAAAGAGTTTAATCCAGGTACCAGAAGATCCATCGGAGGGAACCTTCATCTGGCGATGGATGGAGAAAGAGACCGAGACCCATAGTGGAGTACTGGACTGAGTTCCCAAGGTCCAAATGAGGAGCAGAAGGAGGGAGAACATGAGCAAAGAAGTCAGGATGCAAGGGGTGCGTCCACCCACTGAGACAGTGGGACTGATTTAACGGGACCTCACCAAGGCCAGTTGGACTAGGAGTGATGGAGCATGTGATCAAACCGGACTCTCTGAACGTGGCTGACAATGAAGGCTGACTGAGAAGCCAAGGACAATGGCACTGGGTTTTGATTCTACTGCATGTACTGGCTTTGTGGGAGCTTAGTCTGTTTGGAAGCTCACCTTCCTAGACCTGGATGGAGGGGGTAGGACATTGGACTTCCCACAGGGCAGGGAACCCTGACTGCTCTTAGGACTGGAGGAGGGGGGAGAGTGGGGGGGAAAGGAGGAAAATGGGAGGAGGTGGAATCCATTGTGTTTAACTAAACAATACAGCAAGAGCTTTTTCATTAAGTAAGTTATTAAAAACTCGGTCAACTCAGTTTTATCTCTAGCCCCCACTTCTTCCAGTTTGCTTTTGGACAGAGTACTTAACAAAACATCATTACATTAAAAGGTAACATTATCAACAGAAAAAGTTCTCATATGCAAACATAATTACACATTCATCCATTTCCTTAATTATCCTAAAATCATAAGTTTGTCTAAATTAAAAATTAAGGGAATTTAAAATATAAATACCTTCTCATGTTTCTTTAGAAAGTTGGTTTTCTTGATTTTCCCATGATGCTGCAAGTAAGGAAAATAAGTTTTTAGATTAAGAAGCTTCAATTAGAAAAGGCAATTTGTTGAAAAGATGCCATACATAATGCTAATTATATACATCTTTTGTATATATAAATATGAGTTTCAGAAATGTTATTTTACTTACTATGATATGTTTTAGGGTAGACTTAGACTGGAAGAAGGATTACTTTTGCACATAAAGTTTATAAAATACAATAGACAATAGTGATAATTCTTAAAAGAATTTGTTACATTGATCTTAAAACCACATATTCACTGATACAAAAACAGAACTTCCAAAGATAAACAAATGTGTATTTGTCCCTTAAAGGAGGACAGTAATTCATGGATTATACACTGGCTGAGAATATCTGAGCACTCAAGACTCAGAAGCCAGAATGGGGTTGTCCTTGCCCCTCAAAGACTAGTAACAGAAGAAAACAACAAAACAACAGCAACAAAACCTGATTTCTAAATATTCTCTGCCCAGAGAATGAAGGAGGGTTTCATGGGGGCTGGAGTTCAAACGTCCAGAGCTTACATGAATGTAGATGGGTGTGGCAGCCTGCCTGTAATTCCAGCCTTGGAAAGAGACAGCAATGCCCACAGTAAGCCAGCTAGCCGAACTAACCAGACTGGAGAGCTCAGGACTCAATGGAGAGACAGACCCAAGATGATTTCCAACACCAAACTCCACATGCATGTGCAGACATAGGCATGCTCACCTTGCCCACACACATGTGCACACAAACATTAAGATGCTCATAGACATACGAAAATGGAAAAGAAAAAGTGGAAGGTTTTGGACTAACAATTTATTCCTGATTTCCTGTCTTCTGTAAAGCAGCTACTTTCTCCCAAGGTTCAACTGTGTGTGTAGGGCCCTTAGCAAACAGGTCCTAACTGTGTACTTGGTGATCTTAATCTGTGTCCTGCAGAAGTTTACGGAGAAACTTCAAAGCAATCATTCCTTGTATCCACAGAGGACTGAGGATCATTCAGACAATACCAAACTCCATGGATATTCAAGTTCCTCACTAAAAAATAAGTATGATAGTTGTATAATATACTCTGAACTTTGGATTATCTTAGATTACCTAACATAATTTAAATGCTCTAAAATTCATTAATATATTATTTATGGAATAATGACCATAAAAATGTCTTTACATGTTTAGTACACATACAATATTTTTGAAGCTCATATGTTTGAACCCACAAGACCAACTGTACTCCTGGGATTTTCATAAGAACAAGAAGTTACTGTTACCTTAAGGAAGAACCTCCTGTCAGTTCTCGCCGGGTTATAGGAGGCAAGGTATGCAGCAATGAGAATAAACTTAGAATAATAGGGAAGCTCCACGTGGGTGTACGCCGAGAGACCTGTGCACAGAACAGCGCGATATTATCTACCAGGCTACCATTAGGTGTTAAGTGTACTTTACACCCTACCTTCTGACGCACAGCTGTGCCCTGCTACTGCTGCAGACACCGGCACCACAGAGCTGAATATTGTTGATGACATACTTTGATCTACTTGATCAGCTCCTCCCAATTTGAAGTGCAAACCCTATTATTTTTTACTTTTAAGATTATTTTCTACATTAAACTTTCCCTGAAGGTCTTCTATGACCACAAAATAGGAGATTTTACTTCTACTCTAATTCTTTATTTTTCACATACATAGCTCATACATGTAATATTATATCATGTGTTAAAAGCTACATAGATAAAGATAATAACCCCTAATGACAGACACTCTCCATGGAAGACACCATAGCTAGCATACTACATGCCTACAATTCTATGCACACAAGAACGTGTGTCACACATTGTGAGAGGCCTTATATGAGTACTATTTATATTCTTTGCTGTAATTTAAAGCTAACTACTACTTCTCACTTTTTAAACAAATAAAGAGCTCAGTTTGAAGACACACAGGAAGTAGTACAGATAAACCACAGCACTTCTCCAACTGTGGTCATTGTCTTCTCTCCTGTATACTACAGAAGGTCACCTGTAAATCAGCTGAAGTGTTCGGAAACCATCACATCATTCCCTTGCTTAAACAGAAATCTTTACATTTTTGAAAAGAAAAAAATTACATTTTAGATATTCTGAGTAATAAAATCTAGTCAGTTTGATAAAAATGCAAAAATAATACCTTCTTTAAAGGAAACAAATATACTTTGACAATATAAGTACTGAAGAGGACCCTTTAAATTAATATAAAGCTGGATTTTATTTTAAGTTAAAGTTGTACCATAAACCTGGATTACTTAGGTGAAAACACTAAAGAATATTCATTGATTTTTCACATGGTAGAAGCCAATCACGAAAGAATCTAAGGAAACACCAAACTGACATTCAGTTGAAGGAAAAGCATTAGCGAAAATATCCATCTTGCTAAACAAACTCTTTTCAGACTCCATTTGCTGTCTATCATGGTTTAAACAGTGTCCTGGTTCTCAGGGCTTTCTCTGATACCTTTTAGCTGTCCTGGGTCTGTGTCCTCTTCCTGTAACTTTTCCCACTGGGAACTAAAGTAAAACAGGACAGCAAAGTTAGACTGAAAACACAAGAAATCAAAAGAGCCCTAGAGAACATATTTTCATTCAATAGGAATTAGAAAAATAATATATACACACATGTTGTACCTGTACAAAAACATTTGATATATATCAACAGTGTAACAAAATTCCCCATTGTTAATTCTTTAATTACCTTTTTTACTCTAATTACAATAAATATCACCAGCCACTCAGTAAAGCTCCCAATAGTTCTAATCATTGCACTGGATACAACTGTACATTAACTCTACTCTGGAAAGATTGATGATCAGAACACTGAGGCCCAAAGATTAAGTCCTTCAAGAACACACAGTCAAAAGCAGAACTAATAAATGAATTCATATTTTTCAAAAAAGAAAGGGAAGAAAAATCAGAAACTGTACAGGTGGTTAGGTACAGGCTAGAAGGATAAGGAAGGCGTTTGCATGCACATTCATCTCTCGTCTCCATCTCTTACCTACAGGGCAGTAAGTGTCCACCCACCCCCCACACTTCTCTTGTGTCTTTTTTTTCAGGGGATGGAGCTCACTAAGTAGCCTTGACTGGCCTGGAACTTACTACATAGACCAGGCTGTTCTCAAAATCACAGACATGTGTCTGCTCCTGCCACCTTAGTGCTGAAATTCAAACCTTGTACCACCATGCCTGGCCCTCTTGTTATTTTTTTCAAAGCTATATCTTCAGTTTATCAAGCAAGAGATATACACTCACATACTGTTCACTTACACTCACCTTTGTTTTCATTTAAACATAAAATTAATCTCAATGTCTACTAATAATCCTTTGGCTAGTTTCCTGGGTCATCACTCATAGACGCCTTATGAATAGTGTTTTCTGTTCAATTCTGGTTAATCTGTTTTCTACAGCTTTGATTACTTGATTGACAGGTTGAAAAGATAAATATTTGGCTTTACTTCTCTTTGAAAATGCCAATCAATTTTAAGGTTTTATTAAACTTTCTTTTGTAAGTAACTTTTTACTTGGAAGCCTAGAAATGCTTTTCTTTTATTTTTAGTTTACACGTCTCAATGGTAGACTTAATAATGCTTCTGTCAAAGCTGCTAACAAGTAATCATGTTGCCTTATGTGGGAAAAAAACATGCAGCCTAGCCAGATACTGAGACAGAAAGTTTCTGGGTAAAACCAACAAGCCCTTCCAGATGAGGCCAGAGGGAGGAGACCGTGCTTGGCTGCTGACTTAGGATACAGTAAAGAGCCACAGTCTCATGAAGACAGCAACCGCCAGACCTGCAAGAACGCATCCCTGTGAACTGTTTCAGACTGGCAAGGTGCAGATTTCTAAGACACTGTATTGTTCTACATCTCTGAGTCTGGGGTGATTTACTAGAACATAGCATACTAGCAGGGTCTCAAATGAACCTTCTGAATAACCCGGGGCTGTGAGCACTTCTGGTGCAGGAAAGCAGGGCTTTCTTTATTTCGGACATGCTTTCTTTACTCCAGTGTTGGCCTTTGCACAACTCAGTGTTTCCTATCCCGTGAGGCCCAGTGAGACATGCTGACTCTTCTCTTATATGAAGAAGGGGAGGAAAACACGTATACTTTAGTTTAATTGAAGAAAAGCGTAAATATGAAGTTTAAATCGTTTAGAAATTTGAAGTATTTGAGAATTTAGATTTTGAATTAGGGCGCTTAATCAGTAAATCCTATACATATATTCAAAACAAAACAAAACAGAACAAAACAATCAAAAAAACCTGATGTCTGTAACACACTTTGGATAAGTGATATCTAACATGTTAAACACATTTTACCTTGATATCTCCCTGAGATAAACAGTTTGCATTGCCTTCTTCAGGTGAGGCTCAATATTTCTCCATAGTTTGCGAGTATCACGTTCACCTGCTACTCCCAGGAGAAAATTTCAATAATTCAAATCTTGTATAATTTTCTCCAATAAATATTAATGATTATATTTAGTTACCTTCTCCTTTAACTACAGGTTCACAGTATTTGGGAAAATTAAGCACTGCCTATGAATTTAAAAAGACAAGCAAAAAGCAGAAATATTAGTTAAGAATTTTTCACATAAACTTTTTATTAAAAATTAAGCAATTTTTTAAAATTGATTTTTAAGTACAGGGTAATTCTAACTTATTACTGCAAAAAAATCAACAAAACATCAATAACGGTAGCATATACACTATTGGCTAAATCTTACCTAATGTATTAGGTGCATATAAAATAATAAGGCATAATTTGTACTTGGCAATAATGATGAATAAAAAGATCGAAGTCAGACAATACTGCTATTTTCCAGCATGTGAACACCACCATAAATTAAGCATCACCTAATTAAGGATGAGTTAAAGTATTTGCACTGGTTGCTACACATGAGTTCTTGGCATTATCTGGGGTGTACTAAAATCAGAGAATAATTCCCGAAATCTATTACATGTTTTAACAATCTCTCCAGGAATACTATGCATAAGGAAGTGTGAGAAGAACTAACTAAACCCAACTACTTAGTATTTTCCATGCTAGAATCCTACTGAAATGCAGCGTTAGTAAGATGTGTGTATTTGCTAACATGAATCTGATCTCAAGCATTTTATGATGAAATGATTTAATATTGGAGTCCAGAGCAGAGACAGACATAATAATAGTGTAAATTCAAATTCAGAGGACAATATTAAGTATTGCAAGTGACTGCAGAGAGACCCAAGTTCTTACACTGACTTAGAGTCTCACGTTAACAAGGCCAGTTACCAGCCTAGGCAGATTCCGCAGTGTTCTCCAGCATCGTGCCCAATTCTCCTACCTTAGTTCTCAAATATCCGTACACTTCTACTATTTGTATTAGAATTTTGTCTGTTAACTTTCTATGAATGTGACAACGCACCATAATCCAGGCAGCTGGAAGCATTTAACCTAGGGATCGTAACTGTGGAGGGTCCATGACCATCATGGTGGGGAGGCTGGCACTGGAGTGGAAGCTAAGGCAAGCAGAAGGCGGAGAGAGCTATGGGAGCAATGTGGGCCTTTTAGAACTTCAAAGCTTGCTCCCAGCAACAAATCTCTTCCAACAGGAACACACCTCCTAATCCTTTCCAAACAGTTCCATCAACTGGGGACTAAATATTCAAACTTATGAACCCATTGGGGCCATTCTCATTCAAACTATCACAGATTCACTATGGCATAACAGGAATTCAAATTCACTAGTACCTTAAGCAATATTGCTAGTTTCCAAGAAAAACAAAACTACAAGGCTGCTGATAAAAACCACAAAACTGCTCCAAAACCAAGCAAAAATCATTTTAAATTGGTTTTGCATCTCTCCTCACATGCCCCCGATGCCAGTTATCAAGTGTAACTTTATTAAGAACTGACGACATGCTCAGTGAACATGCGTGTCCACCACAGTAAGAGAAGCAGAGCATCAGCACAACTGTCAGGGCTCCCTGAAGTCGGTCTTCTCCTGACCGACTGCGGAGAAGAGCACTTACAATGCACGCCCTCTGGTGGCTGAGGATGCCAAGTACAGTCTGCCTACAAGCACAAAAGATTCTGTTTACCTAAAATGTACTTATTGCACAGTAAATCAATCTGTGAGGTGAGCGGAGAAAGTATTTCTAAACCAATTCAGTTAAAGAGAATATTTCCCATGGTTGTTACTTTAGGTGGTAAAAGCATTGATTATAAATACTGACAAGGCTGCGAAGGTAGGGCTGCCAGGTTAAGACGCTTTTCCAACTCTGCCTCAGTGAGATTTCCAGCATGGTTTCACTGGGACAGGCAAGATCATTTGCTGGAAGATAGTCTGAGCCATGTAAACTGTAGTAAGAATTTTAAGGAGACCCCAAATTGTCCCGCAGGGTGCCCACACCTTCTCCCAGTTCAACCAAACACTAATCTGGGCAGTGCCGTGCAACCCAAAGAGTCCCAACAGGGAGGACTGTCAGGCGGGAGAGCCTTCCCTCTGGCTGGACACAGAAGTCAGTGGGCACAAGGGAACCCAGGCACTGCCGCTTGCTGGTATGGAGCTTCTCCAGGAGGCCTGAGGGAGACCTATACCATCCAGTTGCCAGGACCATGAAACTTCATTCTTATAGCCCAAAGGAACAGATGAACGCACTGTGGTATTATAGTTAGGTGGGAGTATGTCTCTGTTGGGAAACACTAAAGTATTCAGAAATGGTAAGGTATCAGGTAAACACTTACTCTAAAGGGGCGAGTTATTTTCCAAGGCTTACAACTTTTCTATAAATTAAAATTTAAAATTATTGAATACTTTATCTTGTAAAATAATTACAGCATATATCAACACCATCAAACATAGTCGTGAACTACATTTTATCAACAGCTGGTCACCTCTACCAATTATTATTTTGGTACCCTCTTATTGACTAAGTCACTAGCTCTTTCCACTACCCAAAGGGACAAAGGAAACAAGACAGACTAAGCAAACACTAGTATTGCATTTTAAAAGGGTATCCACCTCCTGGTTAACAGTTCAGCATCTCTGAGTGATTTCTAATTATTCTAAGTCTCATTTTGCTATTTTAAAGGGCAAAGGTTTGAAATATAAGAAATTCAAAATGTATGACATGTTTAAAAATATGCAAAGCTACAGTTAAGCAAATAGGCTATTCTGTGTTTAGGTAAGTATAAAATACTTCTTTAGCTGGCTTTTCTAACAATTATAATTACTTTTGGACTACCATTTCCAGAGAAAGCAAAGCTAAATGAATATTCAGAATGGTATTTTATTTCCTCCTGTCTCTGTTTCCTATATAGGTAGTCTCTAAAACATACTTACACAATAGAAACTCCTAATGCAGATGTAAATGCACACACAGAAAAAAATGCTTGAAAAGAATTTTATGTAGGTTATTTATGACATTTTCAAGAAATATACCATTTACAAACTTTGAAATAAGTAACACTATGCATCTGATGGAAAATAAGTGTCTCAACTCCTTTATGTTTTAGATATGGAAAGAAAATAAGAACACTTTGTTTTGTGCAACATTTTCTTCAATGTGTGAGGACTTTTTACATGTGCTAGCATTGCCAGTGGTAAAGACTGAAACCACACTTCAAAAGTTGATGAACGATGTTCAGAAAAGTTGTAATGTTCTTAAAAATTAATCTCCAGGAAAGCACAAGGGAATTTAAAACTTCCATCTTTAGGTCCATAATTCCACGCTTCACCTTCTTTCCTAAAGGTTTTCCCTTGACTTTTTCCTCCTGCACAGAGAACACAGGTCACTTCCTAAGGAAGGCAGAGGAGGCCCTGTCCCCACCTTTGGTGTTGGCCACCACACACGACACCTGCTCAGTGTTGGGCACCACATGACACCCGCTCAGTGTTGGGCGCCACGCACGGCACCCGCTCAGTGTTGGGCGCCACGCACGGCACCCGCTCAGTGTTGGGCGCCACGCA